CCCCCGAAAACCTAGTCTGGCCCCCCCCAAAAAAAAAATCCTGGGAACGCCCCTGGTCAGAGCCCATATATTTATGAGGTTCCGTTCACAACGACGTTCTGCAGGATTCCTCATTCCGAACACTCAGTTCCATAGGAAGTCCCGTCCACACAAAGGAGAGGAGTTGACACAAAATTATGTACGGAATGGACAGGACTGAATGCGGCGCTGCCAGACGAAGCCATTGGAGACACTCTTGGACGACGCATGAGGAGCTGAAAATGAATTTACCAACTGCAGCTCCAGATGCCTGGCTAGAAGGAGGTTTAGTTGACTTGGAATCAACGAAGCATGACATCGAGGGCGGCCGAAACGCCACTCGAAGGCGAATATGCGCCGGCTTCGGCTTGAACGAGCAGACCGTGGAGTTCGATATACTGTCCCCGTGGAGTACAAGTATCATAGTTCGATCAGCTGATTGCTCTCCGCGCACACACAGAGGAGCGCCGCAGCTCAACGGTTCGCCGGCTCATTCTGTTCCCCATCGTCAGGCGACTAGGATTTGCGACCGGAAAGTAAGATCAAGCCCTATACAGAATGATCTCGTCAGAAACAGTCATTCTGCGACGGACTCATGATTTCGCGATGATAGGAGGATGGTCGACCGGTATCCGAACACCCACCATTGAGCTGTGCTCCAGCTCAGTGGTCACTGCTAGCAGCCATAAAACCATGGCTGCCGTAATGCAAAGAATTTTAAAAGATAGTTTTTCGCGTTTCCGGCCCTCAAGCGTGAATTACAGAACATATACGAGGTAAGACCGACTTCGCAAGCTACTACTCCGCAGGCGGAGTGCAGCGGAAAATGTCGTGACCTCTGGAATGGTGTATACGACTCTCGTACATTGTTCCATTGGCTCTAGCGGAATTTACGTGCAGAGAGTACGCATGGCAAGCCTCTACCTCCATCAGCAGCTCGAAATCAGGCACCTGCATGAGAGATCACGGGCGGAGGAGCATCCTATAATTCAAACTTGGAACACAGTTGCAGAAAATTCTCTATCAAGACTCCTTCGCATTCCAGCGAATGAGACTCTGAAGCTTTCGCCGGTCGGCTCAGTTTATTGTAATTTCGATTCCCCCCGTGATCGGGGAATGAAATAACTTTACTCGTCTATTTGTCTGAACGCGGATCGATCCTGCAGAATGGAACTAGATCGATCCAATGAAAGCTCGAAGTCAATTTCCATCACGAATCTGTTCAGACCAAAGAGATACATCGTGATCGTCACGGTGTGAGGATTCCCCCTACGCATTTCAGACTTGCGGAAGTCGGACGTTTGGAGTCTCCGAAGGAAGGCAAATATGAAACCGGCCAACTCTTCCTGCACAAAATATTCGGATATCGAGGTGTAACTCTGTTCCCTTGGACCGCCAGAGTGTATGATAGGGACCTATCAACGAGTGACAGTTCCGAGTGAGTTTTGTAGTTGAATTCGGCTGTAACGCTCCGCATTCCTCGATGAATTCTTCCGATTGAACAGGAATCTTTATTCCGTTGCAGGGAAACAGAGTCAAACCCGTCGAATGCATTTGTGCACCCCAGAGTTGTGAACGGGCAATCCCAAACATTTTACCAAGTCTTGATTGACTCGAGAGATTGCGCTCACGTGGTGAGTGTGCCCGACGACATGAACATCGTGACTTCGATTCGGATGCGCCGGAGCCGAACGAAACTGTAGTCCCAGATTCTCTCGACGATTTGGGGTACTTCAAGCTGATTCTCTTGTCTGTCGATGCTGATCATTGATCTCATTGCAGCGAACGCAAACCGAAGCTGTTACGTTCCTTGGTAATCAGGAGGATTCAAGGTCATTATATGCCCTCCCGGGCTTGGATTACGTCTCTCATGACGACATTTTACCGTATACCGCTACGAAAGAACAGGTTCGTGAGAGAATCCTGTATAATACCCCGGCTCTGATTCTTGACTCGCAAACATCCATATCCAAGAACGAACAACTTCGTATTCGATGAGAACGAGGTCCTCTCTGCATTCCAGGTGATAAATCATGAGTTGTTCGACAAGTTCCTCCAGCCTGATCCGAATAAAGGTGATTATCGTCAGTACATCTATTCGAAGTGAATTGAAGTTGAGGACCAAATCTGCAAGCGCCTCCTGATTGAAATCGGAAGGTCTTATTTGAGTTTTTCTTCCCCCCTAGATCCGCCTTTCCGGGCCAGAGAGACTCTGCGACTCTGGCAGGATAAAAATCACCCCTGGCTTGAGATGAACCAAGTCCATAGAGAAACTACGGAAGATGTCCGGGTCACTGTAATACCGTTCTACATGGGATGTCGATCGAATCACAATCTATCGATATATTGGGTCAGTTCACGCCATCTTCTATTAGATTCCTATAAGAGAGAGAGAGACTTGATTAAATCAACTTATGAGTGCCTGAAACAATGGATGTTATCGAGGATCCATAGGCAGTTATTGAAACCCATATCAAATCGAGCATTCCAAGCATCAGGAACTTGACAGAATCGAAGTCAATCTCCGGGAAGTCTCTCTAATCGAGGAAGCGAGCTTCCTTTGTGGCTCTAAGTCTCTGGTTTCAACCTCCCTTCCCGGAAGTCTTCATTCCCTCTAGCAACTTATTCTTCCAGTGGCGATACTGCATACGGATCGAGAACATGGGAGAGAAAGCTGTTCAGCTGCGCGAAAGACATTGGCGAATATTCTCCCAGTCAGGAAATCTAGAAACGATTAATGGCCGTGGAGTTGTTGGCCAAGAGCCCGTGCTGAGTAAAAGCTTGCCCGCCTTCCAATATAGCTCTCACGTTTCGTTGCAAGCGTCCAGTGGTCACATGTGGTAAGCAACGGAATCTCTTCGAGGACTCACCCGCGAAAGTTTGAACTTGGACGTTTAACATGTATATCGTTCGCTTCTAGGGGAACTTTCCGGATGGAACGGGAGGGTGGCTACATGTTCGACTGCAAAATCCCCCCCTTCAGTTTGGAGAGTAAAGCGGAAGTCTAGTTTCGCGAGTCTTATATTCAATTGAGTACCAATTACTCGGAGCGGAGTTCGGATGATCCATTGTGAGAAACCTCGAGCTCCGACTCCTTCGCACATCTGTCGTACTGCGGAAGTTGAATCAGGCGAAGGTTCAAAACGAGAAGCTGAGGGAGAATTCGGTCTCAAGAGCTCTATAGTGAATAGATGCTCTGTGTCTGGATCATGTGGGCTAGCCGATGTCCGTGTGTATATGGAACTTATATTTAAATAAAATCGACATGGCAGTTCCCCGGATCGATTCGCCTCCAGAAAAAAATATTTCCCGCTTTTCGCAGAATCCTCTTCTTATTTATGCCGACGTGGTCGATCTGCTCCCGTCTCTGATAAGATCACTTGACGCCGATTGGTCTCTCTCTCTCTCTTTCACTCGCTCGGTGATGTCTCTGGTCTCTGAGTGAGGGTGGCATCCGAGGAATGTGGCATTGACAGCAGTTGAGGAGGAAATATTCGCGCATTTCCCTCAGGGCTGAGCTCGATTCTAGAATGGACGGGCGCGAGCTAATTTAACCTATCAGCCTAGAAGTCGCGCTTTGCGTTCGATCGTGAGCCCAATAAAAAGTTATTGGCATTTCTAGTGCGGAAGAAGAGTCGGCAAGGTATGAACCAAGGTCCTTCTCCTCGCGCCGCCCTCGACACGGTGGGGAATTCCTGCAAAGATACTCGAGCGTTGCTGCGAGAGTCCGCTACACCTCAACTCACGAGTCGCCGTTTGTCACTGCCGAAAAAAAGATCCAACACCTGATATCCTTCTGCGGTTGTGATGATTTATTTTATCTTTCGCTTAACAATTAGTATAAGACGATACAATGCATAGCAGACATGCTGTGCGTATATTTCTTCCTATAAATACATTAAGTTGTACAGATGCGGGTGTCCCAGGCTGGTTTTCATCGTTGGTCCGATTGAAAGAATTTCAACTGCCGCCTGGGATCAGCTTCTGAGGCAGCGAGATGGCATGCGACTTCCGAGTGAGCTCAGACGCTTAGGAAATCAACATCTGCTTTCACACACACGCCCGTGCGGATGTCCAGTGCGCTCACCTGGAATCACGAAATCCTCAAGCATGCTTTCCACCCTTACTGCTCGACACAGGGAAAGAATCGAGCCGGAGTTTTTTTTTCTTTAATTTAGAGAGAGCCAAGAAAGAAGGGGATATCGAGCCCGATGAAAGTTTCTTGGACTTGGTGACCCGCTGCTACCTTGATCTCCGTCTCGCCGAAGGTCATCAAAGCCTCGATCTCTCTCCGATCCCCATCAACGGAGCGTTCATTACAGACATTTTCGTCGAGAGCTGTTATACCTGCGAAGGGTCGACAAAACTCGTTCATACGGATTAAGAGTCAGTATTTCCCTCCACGCCCACCGAGGGTTAAGCTGTTGGCCTTGCTCAAACTTACGGTCGTATCGCGGAGGGTCCGCAGCTAGATCCAGGACGAGAGTCGCGCATTTCTGCACCCCGGGATCGGTTATGAAGCAGACATCGTCTCGATCGCTACAGTAGATATGGATGATTGAACAAGTTTGGCCTTGCTTTGCCGGCGTGTAGGATCTCCGAACTTGAGATCCAACGTTAATGCTCTGATCCGCCAGGACGAATTTGTCGAATATATCGGCACACCTGGGATAGAGGACGGGAGTTATACCACGACATCTGCCGCCACCGACTCCCTTCCCCACATCTTATGGAATAAACGTCAGCGATGTCGAACCCACCACTCGATTCCGTCCTTGACAATTTTTTTTGACGGAGGGTGCAGACCGTGGACGAAACGGTTCAGAATTCCGACACCGTAGGTCATTCTGCTACGACGTTGTCGGATCACTTGGGGATCGAGTCCAAACAAGACAGCGCCCCTTAATATCGCCATACTGACTCCCTGAGGCACAATAACCTTCACCTGTGAACGGGGAGATCCATTTTATCTTCATGAAATTGATAAAACTAGAGGACGTCCGAGTCGAAATGCGCTTCCTGATTTTCTCGGGATTTGAATGCCCGAAGTGGACGGTTCATATCCGATATGTTCAGGATTGTGCGGGATGTCGCCCGAGCCCCGCCGACGAGAATCACGCCCCCGGAGCCAGCAACTCTGATGCAGACTCAACGTCGCAACCAGAACGTTCCGTGGAACAATCCGAAGAACGAAAATATCCTCCGGCTCAAAACTCTCACTCGAGGAAAAAACGCGAGACGTTCCCATACTCACTCTGTTCTTGAACTCTTCGCGCACGGCTTTCTGCAGGACTTGGGACTCAGCGAAGCCGCCCACGAGAAAGAGATAATGCGTGTCGACGAGATTTTGGTGGTTGAGAACAGCTGCGATGTGATCCTTGATAGCTTCGCACGTTGGCTTGAAAAGAGTCATCATTAATCGAGGTTCAAGGCGGAGCATGCCTTGCGGCGACCACTTGACTTCTTTGTTGTTGAATTTCTTTATCGCGCTCTCGACCTGCAATTCAAAGGATCTCTCTAGAGTCTGTGGAAGGATTGGCGATCGAGGGTGTTCGGATCCGTACGTGAAGGACCAATGCAGCTCGAGCATTCCTACTCACCGAAGAACCTTTGACTTTCTTGTGGTAGTCGATGAAAGAGAAGGGAAGCGAAATGTTCAGCGGATTTTCCTTGAAAGGACTCACGCTCCTCTTCCGAGCTTCGAAACCCACCATGAGGTTTACCCAACCGGAGGATCTGTACGTCAAGGCAGGAGACTCTCAGTCAGAGATCATCGGATCATAATTAAAATGAATTGGAATAAATGATTGTCGGGGAACATTCGACTCATTCACAGATGTTTCTCGCATTGAGCTCTCAGGAGTTCAAGGCATTTCAGTTCGACAGTGAGCGCAGGACTCGAATTCGCCATACCTTTTCAGCTTGTATTGTCCTATGAAGTCTGCACCGAAGATGTCGCACAGGAGCCTCTCGAATTCAAGATCTACGCCGACCGAACCATGAGGACCGCCAGTTGCCTTGTGGATCTCTCGCAGAGTCCCGAGACTGTCGTGAAGCTCGTGGACAGTTATGTCTACGGTGCCTCCTCCGCAATCGACCACCATGTACCGCGTACCTTCATCGAAGATCAAAGCAGCCGTGAGTGAATTGTCTGAGAGACTCTTCGATCACGAAAAGGTTCGAAATCCCCCGATGACCATCATCGTCATCGAGCGACCATGGAAAAGCGTGTCAACAAATTGTTAGATCCAGATCGTCGAACATTGAGGGGGACGACTTTTGTCAGGTATAATTTTTTTTATCGGAGTGAAGTCATGCAATGGGTGCTTCGCAAAGAAGTTCAGTGGAGTGGAGAGTATGCAGTGCAGACGAGATTCCACAACACAGGGGACGGAGCACAAACGACTGAAGGACGCAACGACCACAGAACGAAACACGCAGCGAGCCACAGTGAGGACAATGTGCTCTAGGGGTACCTCGATTCAGGCAATCCTCAAAGCGGCTCTCCCGTTTGCTGGGTATGGTAGCATACAGAGGGGACAAGCCCACAGATGTGTATGAGGAAGAGGCGCTAGATGACCCAGAGCAAGATTGAATATCCTCCGCCGGAGTATCCACGGCGGAATAGATATCCTGAGAACCGATCTCGCAGTAGAATTCTATGGAGCCCAGACCGACCGAGAATTAAGATAATGAGGGAATCGAGATCGACTCAGTGAAGAATATGTACAGTAGAGAAGCGATAGCTATAGTCTCGCAGAACCAGATTTTCAGCCAGGGAAGAAAGGAAGGAGATCATGAAATTTCATCGACGATAGCTGGTCGGCGACTGCTCCACTCCAGTTGAGTCGACGGTTGAGTCGACGGTCGACTCCTCCCCCTCCCGCAGGACCCGAGGTCCGGATGAATGGCTCCTATAGCCCCCGTTCCTCGTCGGCCGAGCAGCGAGACGCTTGTCTCGGTCCATTTTCATTCTCTTCTCATATCCACATTATCAGAAGCTGAGGTCGCCATCATCACTTAGTGACCTCAACGTGAGCCTCGTTCCCCCCGTCGATTCCTCGACGATTTGGAGGAGAAGTCGACCAAGTTTCAAGTCAATCGGAGTGGAGCTTTCACCGACTGTCACTCGTGAGTGAATATTGATAGAGAACGTACGCAACAGTGTTCCTGATCCAAAGTCGAGCAAGGCTCGACGAGTCAATTTCATATCGGACTGCGGGAGCTCACCTTTTTCCTCTTCGACGGCAGGTTGGAGGTTAATATCTGGAACGTGCTCACGCAGGAAATATATGCGATTCGAAGGCGGAACGTCTGGTACGAGCTGGTGAACTTTGAGTTTCCTGCAGTAAACCGAGGCGGCCTCAGGCTCAAGAGCGATCACGACTCTCTCAGGACTCTCGGGACTTCCGATGCCAGCCTGCAACGTGGAAGTCAAATCGAACCTCAATGGGGGCAGGGGAGGCGGGTCAAGCACCCCAAAGAAGGAATGAGGAGTTGAACGAAATCGCCGGTTTCGAACGGGAAAAAAATCCTCTCCATCGGCTCCGTGTGAGGGAAGAACCGCAGGCCAAGACAAGACCCAAATCCTCCAGAATGGTCTCGTTATAGCCTCGAGTCGTATGAGGCCGTATCCGATATTCACCGTTGGTTCATCATCGGGATTACCTTGTAAGCCGCCGCTCTGATGAACTGTTTGGCCGGTTGCCTCCAAATTGCGGGGACGGTGATTACCCAACGGATATCCTCGAACGCTATCATGCCGGCGACATCCCGGACTTCTCTAAAAGCCTGTTCCTTGAAATGACGGAGTGCCAGGGAGAATACAACAAGTGCTTTCATTGGTCGACCATTCACAGCTCGAATTTCCGTATCGCGAGTTAAGTTCTGCAAGAAAATGAATCATCGAAGTTATAATGCTCGACCCCAATAAGTCTCCCCCTCGATCGCCTCGCTCCGGAGAGGCTCCTCTGTCCGCCGTTGCCTATGAGCTGATCGAAGAAACAGCGGATTCTGCGATCCGCAGAATAGGGCGAGTTACGCGCCAAGATTTACGAATTCGTTTCATTCTTCTCAGCGACATTATCGAAAACAATCATTCACCTCGGTTCCAAAATCGTTTCCTTCTGGGCGAACAATGATTCTTGGTTGAGAGTTTATCCGCATTTTCGCTACACGCTTGTGTTTATGAACGTTGTGACCCCAATCTTCAGAAGGTCAAGACGTCCGAGAACCGGAGCTGTCCAGAATGCCTCCGTTCTTTCGATGGGGCTGACCGGCGGCGCCGTTTAATACCCACGCGCGCGTCTGTATGCTGACTATTCAGGCTAACGAGACTTGGGAGAAAACCGCTCAGCGTGTTCATCCCGGCGCGGCGCCGTGAAGAGCCACTAGGGCTGAGGAGAAGCGGGAAGACACGTCGATGTCTCGGAGAAATTGCGCGGAAATTCCGAGGAGAGATTCTAAGAATCGATTGTCGATACCGATTGTCAACTGAGCCTCTCCCGAGATTCGTCTGCACGCCGATGGGGGATGAGGAATATCGAACGCTTCTTCTAAAAGAAGCGTTGGAATTCCGCTTGAGGTGAAAAGCCCCGGTAGCGATGCGCGGTGAATTGGGCGTAGCCGAGTGCCCGACTCATTCTTTTGCGTGATATTCTAAGATATCACGAAATGGGAAATAGATGGACTCGCGGTGCGTCGGCAGTTTTGATCCTTTGATTTGTCAGACAGTTCACTTGATTTTCCAAGCAGTCCAGAAAGCACGCAATTCCAGTTCGCGAATTTCGCGAAAAGTTCCCATGTTCCCTTCTTTTCTTCTCTTTCTCTTCCCCTGTCGTTACCTACCATCTCCTCGTAAGCATATGAAAATACTTTCTGGCCGTTGCGACAGGTTCGCGCTCAAGCTGAGGAGTGTCTGTCAATTTATGTTTGACCTTCCTCATGACCCGAAGAAAACCACCAGAAATTCCGGGGAGTGTCGTGTCGACGCCAGGATCGGACGTGAGGGAAAAAACTCGGTAGGCTGGCAGAGGATTCATAGCCGGCATCTAATGGATTACTTCACCAGAAATGCTGCATCATCGTTCAAGGTTATTAGAATTAATATACGCGATTATGAACGGTGAATATCGGGGAATGGATTAGGGAAAGGATTGCAGGTAGTCGGGTCTTGGCAGAGACCCGGCTAATACAGAGTCTCTGAGCACCAAGCTCGTTGTCTGTTCTCGTCGCTCGAATGCAAACCTTTCGACCGATCGAGATAGCCCGAGAGTGAGCGTATAGGAGCTATTTCGGAACGTCTTGATCAAACAGATCAGCTCCATACTAAGTAAGGTATTCGCTCTCTTCTGGAACGTCTTCCGAAGTTTGAACTTCTCAAGTCATCCCCGACATCCGGCGTCGATGACAGATGTGACTCGATAGAATCACTCGACTGCTGCAGAAGTTCCCTGAAGTCATACCTTTCACGATTCGCTCCGCTATATCGGTCGAAACGTCTCTTTAGGCATTCGTGCAGCTTCAGAATTCGTTTCCGTTCTCGAGCTATAGAAAGATGTACGAACTTTGTTCCACCCGAATTGCGCATGGTAGGGCGACTCCTCCGATCGCCGCTCCTACTACGAGAAGTCAAGAACAGAAGACGGAACTCCTACAAAAACTGTTGAAATCTTCATTCCTCGCGAAGCGAGTTTCTCGCAGTTTCCTCCGAGTCGTGATTATCCCCAGACAGACTGATAATGGCGCTCGGATCGAATCTGCGGAAGCAAGCATGGAGTCGTGCGCGGCGAATCGTGAAATGCGCTGGGCATAAAATTTTGAAGTTTGGTGCCACGAGGTCTTTGTTGGGACAGGGCGAGAGGAGACACAACCCGGGAAGGAACAAGCGTATCTCTGGGTGGAGGGAATGCGGAGGAAAATTTCATCAGTGGCACATCCAATCGGAGGTGGCTTTTCGGAAGGAAGTGCAATGCACAGTTTCTCGTTTCCAGGCGTGCTGCGAATTCCTCTAATGGACTCTTCTCCGTGAGCAAACTTCAGCAACTCACATGAAGTTCTTTCGGGACCTTCTTCACGGCCGCAACCGATTGAATCGCGAAGCCGGAGGACCTTGCACCGAATCGTGTCCGAACTTTCCGTACCACTCGTTCTCTGACCGTTCACATTTCTTCTGAGGGATGCCGTCGCATCCCCGTCTTGATTGACGGCGACTTAGCCGGAACAAGATGGGATATTTCCAGTTGGAAACCGTGTGGAATAGCGTCGCTAGACGTTTGAATGAAGAAATCACCAACCTCGGAACTGTGTAGAGTCATCTTGAATTTGTCGAAGTACATCCACTTCTTCGCTTGTTCGACGTCGAGGTCGTGGAAGTTGTCGCGGGCGGCGAATCCGAAGGAGTGGAACTCGCCGTCAGGTTTCAGCAGAACCGACGTCGGAGTCTTCTGGTTCAAAATTCCAGGATCGCCACCTGTGAACGATCCAACGATTCAGACTCCGAGCATTTTTCTCAGCCTTCAAACCGCGCGCCTCTTACAACGCGTCATCAGCACAGCCTATTATGATCATTGCTGAAGACTCTGCGTTTCGAAACATCCGTGAGAAACTGTCATAAGAGAATCCGGCTCTGGTATTTTTGAATGTGGTCAACAAGGAGGATGATTTCCAAACCGCTGGGCTTCGAGAATTTTAGAAAAATCCGGCGTTCTCCATTGGATGGACAACTTTGATCGGGAGAAGTCTGAGATTCTAAGTTCGAATTCGGGCGACAAAACTCTCCGGTTTTGAGTGAAGACTTGTCAGAGATCGGAATGAGTGAAGCGACGGGCCGGTGCGATGGAGCGGGGAAGGATGACCTCACTCAGATTTGTTTCCATGATCACAGACGCTGTAACGACGCAGATCGGGGCCCCGCCGATGAGCGGCATGAGGTCATTCTGTTGGAGTGTTTTCGAAGTCTTGTACAAATTCAATTATTTTCTCTTTCCTCCGCGCAGGGGCTTTTCAATTATCATTGTTGATACCGCTCTTGGAGTTGACTCAGAGAAATTCTTGGATTGGACTCGACGATTCTTGGATCGATACGGGTAGGATTAGCCGGTTTCTTCGGGCCATCCATGATACTACATCCCGGCTCATAGTCAGATTTAGTCACTTCATCGAGAGCTGGGCTCATTCGACGAATGGCTCGTATTCGGAGAACATTTTTCACTTCCGAGACATCTCTCGCTCCCCACTTGAAGCGTTCCACTCCAACCTTCTTGGAACCCCCTGGTGATTTCGTTGAGAAGGTCTCAGATCATTCTCCTGCTGAGCACGCAGGGAAAATCGATTGCAAAACTTGGAAGAGCCAAGATTTGAAAGATGCGTTCGGAAGTTCGCCTCGGACACGACGTCAATCCGGAGGGACGCTCGTGTAAACTACTCACCTTCCCACTTGCGCATTATGTGAATGCTGTCTGGGTCCCTGGTGAAGCTGTAAGCGTAACCGGAATAGGTCGTTCCGAAGTCAATCGCGACCACGACGAGCGGATTCAAGGGTCCGCTCGGTGGTTCCCGATGGACGTCAAGACCCGAAGCCGGACGACTCGCGACGCCGCTGTCGGCAGTGTCACTCCTAACATTGAGGAATGTCTCATCTGAAACGCGGGGCTCATGAATAATGATCCAGGAAGCTCGAATTGTTATCTTCATACAGCTGACGCCAAGAGACGATCTTTCAGGTCCACCGTGCATCGGAATTCATACCTGTGGTAGAGATTCTGTCATTGCTGGAGTCCGAGCCCTTCCCGGTACGACTCTTACACCTGAGAAAAGCAAAGAATCTGATTATATCGCGTGATAACTTATAGGAATGCTACTATTACCGAAGAGCCCTCCGTAGTGCTAGGGTCGTTGGGTGATTTGCGATAAGGGAAGAACATTCATTAGAATCGTCAGATCCTATGTTTTACGAGGTACACTCGAGTCTGCTGTGTCAGAAAAAAAAATTATAACCCAAGACGGTTTTATCCAAAAGGAGAAGCCCCGGCAGCTCGTCGCACACGCCACTTTATCGGGCTGGGGACATTCATTCCGCGCGCCGCCGCGCCGTCGAAAAATTACAATCCCGCCTTAATGTTCAGCAACAGCAGAACTCGAAAAAAATGTTCTTCTTCGTCAAGTCCGTAAGCGGTGGTCGTTGCCCCTCCGTCGCACGGCAGCGAAACTTCTGGTGACATCTCGCTCGACACTCCGCCGGAGATTTTTCGCTGTTTCCTGGGTGGTGCTTCGAGGAACACCGCGAAAGTCACACGGGGAGTTTCTGCAGTTCTTCGGTTTCTATCAACTAGCAACCCCGCGTAGAATGCCTCGTAGTCATGTACGTATGTATACGCGCTCGTGGGAAGCATGGCAGTGAGTTCGAAGATGAATTTATGCACTGCGTCTGGTACCGTAAACTGCTTACCTTGCGAACAGCTCATTGTTCAGTACGACATCTTCGTCCGACGAGAACGACTGTGAGTGTTTCTTTCTCCTGAGCGTGTCTCCATCCGAATTCAAGTTTGGTGAGGGGCTCGAGCTCTCGAGAAAGCGTCGATCGTTCTTCTCGAGAGAGATCTCCTCGATCAAATTGTCTGTCTGCTGCTGCTCCTCGATTCTACACGGAATTGAAATTTCGTTACGTTCCGTTTCTTCTATATCCGAAATGGCGAGAAGACACACTTTCCGTCGACCGGAGTTCCGCGTCAACCGGATGTTCGATTTATCGGATAACAGAAAAATGGCGAAGCAACGACAGAGGTATTCGGATTACTGTACCTAGACGAATCTGGAAAAACGGGAGCGGGTGGCGGCGGCGAGGTGTCTTTTATGGGGGTAGACGAAAACACGGTCGTTTTGAAAGCGTGACTCTTGGAAGTTTCCTTGCCGACGGTAACCAGATTCGTTCCATAGATGTCATGCTTGGAGGGTTCACTTTGCCACTTCGACGCGAAGTGACTGGATGCGAGAGGGAAGATAGGAGTGAGAACGAGCTATTTTTCATGCAGGGGATCGTATGCTTCCGACGAGAAGCAGAAAAGCGCTAAGCAGCCGCTGGGAGGCGGGAAGTATATCATTCTGCGGTGGATAGATTCCGCTTCTCGGCGGAATCGAATAATTCCACCGCGAAACCTTACCCAGTGTACGCTGGAGCAGCGAAGGCTGTATTTGCCGGTCTCTGTTCAAGCATATCGTCGCAAAAAGACCGGAATGCGCAATTCAGTGAGTAGTTTTCCCTGCTAGATCCACTGGCTCGGAAGGATGACGCGGACAAGGACAACGGTGATCGAGAGCCCCTCGGAGGGGAGGGTTCGCCGAAGCCCGGCGGAGGATCCACTACTTCGAATTCCGGAGGTTCTGCAATAAAGGAGAATTGGGTCAGAGATTCGACAGTCATTCAAGAGGATGCAATTATTGTTGCTGCCTCGTCTCAATTATTGTATTGTGCTTCGATGGATGGAATCATCGTATCTCCCAGACATCGATCCGAAGCGGCAACTGATACATTCGTAGGCGAGCCGTCGAAGCTAATTCGTTGAGAAGACGCTCTGTCTTCCTGTCGGAACAACCAGCATCATTCGGAATGCTCGTTTTCTGACACCGCCTTTGCTGACCCGGGAACATCGCAGTTGCCACCGTGCTCATTCTCTTGAAGTACGGCTCACAATCGGAGTCGATGAAGGTGGTCATCGTCGACGTCAAAGCCATCATCACGGCATTACCCCACATCAGATTGACGACCCACTTGCTCGATATCGATACTAAGCGTCGATCTGAATCGGTCCTCGTTATAAGAATTGAGGAAGACGTATCTCGCGCCGTATATACGAGTTGGAACGGAGATTTTTCCAATGGTAAGAATTCGCCTCGGATCCTCCCGCAGATTTTCAGATGTCATCCATCGGCGGAACTGCCTCCGACTCCCCCGAGCTAAATGTACCTTATATTGGAATATTGTTCCGGAGCTAAGGAGAATCAGCGCCGTCTACACCGTCGAAGATATGCCCCCTGTGCGCTATGAGAAGAGTCCCAACATTGTGGGCCGTACCGTAATACACGTGAGGCCATCCCTCCATGAGCGGGATGGATGAAACTTCCCTAAGAACAAAAGCATCTGCTTTCCATATATCAGCTGTCGAAAAACTATAAAATGGCCAGGATTAGTTTTATTTTCGCTACACGACGAACGTGCAAACATCCCGACGTACGGCTCGACGAGCAATGGCCGGCGACTGACTTAATCCGAAGTCGGTGCTAGCTTCCTGATTGACGTCTGATTCTCCGTCTATTCTTATCGGCTTCGTTCGGAACTTCCTTACGCTCGCTAGCCGACACCGCGGCGTCAACGAAGACCAGTTCGACCGCGGCTATGAGAACGAATTCAGCCCGAATCCAATCAATCGATGCCGTGCAAAGCTCGCGTTGCTTTCTTATGGATGTGACAAACCAATGTTGAGAAATCTTTTGTCGTTCCGGGAGAAGTGCCGAGGGAGTGATCGAATCGCAGACATAGAATGGATCGTGCCTAGAGCAGACAAATCCCCTTCACTGCTCTCGATCTCGTCGTCGGAGTTTTCGTCTCCAATGTCCATTATCGGATCTCCGGAGAAGAAAAATGGATTGGAGTGGAAGTCGAAGAAGGGAAAGAATAAAAAGTCATACGGAACCTCAATATCCGATCCGCGATGATGGGAGAAGAACAAAGAGGAGCCCAGAAAATGTGAATGGCTGCTCGTGACAGACTAGAATCAGCGACAGTCGGCTGAAAATCTGAATGACTTGGCAGAAGTTTGTTTCGTAAGACGACATACCCGAAAGACCTCGGCCTCCGCAGCGGGGAGCTTTTCTTCGCCATTTCTTATTGATTCTCAATTCAATTTTTATGCGCTTCCCCCAAACGTCATCAAACGTTCGCGGAATCTCTGATCTCCTACGATCTTCCCGGCTTCTGTCACTGGCATTTGCGGCTGTTTGTCGATTCACGCCTCAGATGGCTAGCGCCTCAGATGGGCTCGCGGTCATATTCCTTTTATACGCTATTATAAAATGATAATAAATTCAATGTCACAAAAGTCACTCGCTTCTCTTTCTATCCCCGTGTCGGAGTTTTTCCTCCTGACTAGATCACTGCACGAACAGGACCGCTGGTTTGGTCTTCTGCGGAGGGACATCATAAATGGGTTTTGCTCGCCCAATACGACGTCGCAAACAGGAAGAATATGAAGTTTACAAGCCCTTTTTGAGGTTGACAGTTTTTTTTAAATTATGTGCATTGACTCAGGAGATCCCGGACGACTTGGGATACCCGAATATCCCAACGGGGAAAAGCCGCTCACTTGCTCTGTCGAAAGGAGGCCGTAGAGCCGGCTATGAGGGACCGGAGCGCACGGCGATCTCTGATATCGGGGGCTTCGGAATCTCGGTCTTCGGGAGGGCCGATTGCGGGATCCGGTAATGGAATCAGACTGTACTCTCGACGGCCAGATGGCCCCCCACGCGGCTCAGTCGACTGGCTCTCCCTGCGAAGCCCGAGCGCCTATCCACAAGGACGATGGAACGGAGAGGCAGCGGGGAATACCCTCATCCTGATTTCGTCCGACGACATCAAGGGAATCGGAATCGACTGCTCAGGATAAGCAGAGTACAAAGTATACATAAACAGGTGCTCCAGACTGGAGCAGCCCTCGGCCTCTCTTCAATGCTCCCTATACAGGCGCGACGCGGGGAAACTCCCAGAGATATCGAGAAGTGGTGCTCTGGCCTGGCCTCTGGACTATTCCCCGGAACTCTGCTGCACAATCTTCTTCTCAGAGACGAAATGGTTTTCTGTGAGCCCCGGGTACTGTTTCCCCAGGATGAGCGCAAACGCCGGATGATCACGGACAGGAAGTGCTCCGGTATCGGTCTTGTTCTAGTGGCTTGTGAATTAGTGGTCCGCACGCCACAGTGAAAAGATGTCTTGACCATAAAGTCATACACAAACAATCTAACCAACCGAGCCGCTCTCCCATTCACCGACATATTGAATGATAAGTCTTCCTTGTTGTTTTGTCTCTGACGTGGCTATGGTCGGTTTGCTTGCCCGATCAATGAATGTCTCTGCGCGGGGCAGGGCGGCTTGACACACCCGTCTGCCAGCAGGCTGCTCTTTTGAGCGCACGGAACGCTAATGAATGAAAATTACCTACCCACTCTCTCACCGGCACGCTCACTCATTCACGAGTGATTAGTGCATCGCCGAAGTGAGACTCTCGCTCTACGAGCTTTTGTGCTGACGATTTCTTTGTCGCAGACGCAAGCAGGGGCTTTCCCTTGAATGTCACTGTGAAGGCGTCAAACGCCTTCTCATCAGGAGAGCTGTGATGGTTCAACAGTTTTGTGGAAATGTCCCCAGCTCCGAGGGAGAATCAAGAATCCGGAGGCAGTCTTGGAGCAAAAATCGATTTGGAGAGGACCATCGGATCCATCAGCCGTCAATGCTGTACTTATGTATGGTCCGTCGCTCAGGATCGACTTATGCCCGAAGTCTTGTTTTCTCGAGCGAATTCCCAAATGCCGAAACCCTGGGTCTGCAGTGGGCAGCCGTCTCAGCTACAGGTCGACATTCAGTGCAGGAGAGGGACTGCAACTTGTGTGCGGTGTATGAAGTGTCGGTCCCGGGCAGGTAATTTCGGGGTACAGTCATTCACGCTCGTCCTCGATATGATTAGCTGTCGAAAGATCTGGGCAACATCACTGATAGATATTAAATATCTATCGGTCAGGCGATGAACAGGGAAGCTGCACGGTCTACTCCTCCCAGGGCTCGTCGATCTGAAGCAGTTAGGCATGCTTTCATAATCATCATATGTGAGGAGTTCCGACATCTGATTGTGAGTAGGTCTCCCGATCAAGAGATCGATGAGAGTATGGCAAGGGAAAAAGTTCGAACCACTGATCGTCTCTGGGATCTCCGGCATTCCGATAATCGAGAGCAGCATCCCGGGACGCGGAGAGACCAGCGACCATTCTCTTGCCACCGACCATTTCGCGATCCCTCAGGACAAACTCCTCAGCTTTGGAGTGATGAGCGCTCACGGTCACTCAAGCTTTCCTGAAGACTGCCATGACCTGGATGCATATCATAGAGCCTGACGGCACTTCGATATTCGGGAAACCGCCTGGTATGATCAGCTCGGATTCGATGGAGACATCGAGCTCTTCTAGTGAAAAAGAAATACTTCGCCTGGCCTGGTGAGCACTGGTTCCAGAATCTCACAACGCGATTGCCAAGCCATCGAGCAAGAAAAGCCCTTTGGAATACTCTGAGTGAGTGCCATTCACCTGGACGCTAGCTTGATCAAATAATCTGAAGCTCAAAATGACTGAGCGTGCGAACGGCGCGTCGGTTCTTGAGAAGACTCAAGGGTGGCATCAGCGGAACTCGGGCTTACGACCGCTCCTATTCTGAGCTTCGCCTGCGGGCGCACTTGCATCAAGATGTCAGCGCCGGGAATTGGCGCGGTCCGAACCGATCCACTCTGGCGTCATCAGAGGAAACTCAACCACGAGAGAAAAAAACTCGCGAGTGAAATCCGTGTTCGACCATCCCCGATCGCCGTCAAGCGGGGTTCCGATCAGCAGTCAGATTTTTGTTGAAATCACGGAAACAACCAAAATCGGCGACTGCCTCCATCTATACCCTTCTCACCGTCGCAGGGTGTCAAAGTGCCCGGAACCATGGAACAATCGCTCGTCCGATAGTTCAGGAGCGCTTCCTTTCTTCATCTCTTCGGCTCCGATGTCCCACGTTTTCTCCCACCGGGCGTCACCGTTAGCTTCGGATTGATGAGGGTTCTGAATCTACTCTCCATTCAGGGTTGATTATTATCAGACGTCATTCGGTACTCCTCAGCAGAAAAACGATTCCATTGAACGTTTTCGGAACAAGGGTCTTGGCATCTCGTCATCGCGAAATGACAGATTGATGATTCTCTGCCGCCACGGGCGATGAAGACTGCTGAATTCATTATCGCAAAAGGATCAGTGCTCGCTTCCTTCATTCGCCACGGTAACCGTATTTCTCGGAGATCATGTGATCGGATCTCATGAATTCTTTCATTGATAGATGAGTGCATATCCGGTAAGGCAACCTACGGTACGCTGTATCCGAGGAGAACGTAAGGCAGCTCGGTCAGCGAGAAGGGCTCAGAACTGTCGGCAGTGCCCGGAGGGAATTGGTCAATAGCGGGGCATAATTTGGGGCTTCTTGAAAGCCCCGGCTTAATGTGGATCGGTGGTTTCCACCAAATAGCCGACGATTACCCTCCTCCTTATTGAAATGTCATTTTTTCTCTCCTCATTTTTCCGCAAACCTATCTCTCGGAAGGTAGAGTAAGCAAAGGGGTGGGAGCATCGGGATGTGAGCTATCATTTCTTCTCGCGAAATCTGTCACAGATAGGTACCTTCGATTCGAGAATCCTCCGCCGCGATTCGGAAGATCTTTTGGAGCAGAATTTTGTTCCACTATGATTCTCGATATGAACAATAAGGATGAGTTCCCACAAGAAACGACGGCAACCGATGGATGCCTCCGATGATCTCCTTGAGTAATCCTGGAGGTGGGTTCCGTGCTCAGACCTCTGTCGGAGAGTACACAGCATCGGCAGACTCCGACTCGCAAAAGGAAACCTGAACCGATCCAGCGAAATTTCGGTCCCACATACGGATATGCAACGGCAAACGAAGTCCGTTCCTTAGCGGATTCTCGGCGGAGTGCCGCCAGGGCAAGCA